TACAAGGTGCTTAGTTGTTTTTTTTTTGTTTTTTTTATCGTTAGATTTGCATTCAGGGTACTGGCAGGTGCTCCTTGCAGATGCTGATTGACCAATAACAGCCTTCGTGACACCCGACGGTCTATATGAGCTTAATGTGATGCCCTTCGGCCTCTGCAATGCGCCTGCCACCTTCGAGCGCATGATGGACTCGGTTCTTCGGTGTTTGAAGTGGCAAATATGTCTCTGCTATCTCGACGATATTGTCATCTTTGCTCCAGACTTTGCAACACATCTCAGGTGCCTGAAACACATTCTCACGTGCCTGAAGAATGCTCACCTGCAGCTCAACCTCAAAAAGTGCCACTTCGCTGCGCGGCAACTTACGATTATCGGGCACGTCGTATCAAAGGACGGTATACTTCCAGATCTGGCTAAATTACGTGCTGTCACCGACTTCCACAAACCAACGACTGTGAAGCAGTTACGGAGGTTCGTAGGGTTATGCTCATACTCGCCGGTTCGTGCGCAACTTCGTTTCTATCATAGCGCCTTTGACCGAACTTCTAGGCAGTGCCACTGATATTTCGTCATGGTCTTCGGAGTGTGACCAAGCCTTCTCCACCCTTCAGTCATCTCCTCACTTTGCCACCAATATTGCGTCACTTCGATCCTACGGCTGCAACTGAGGTACACACCGACGCCAGCGGTGTCGGGCTTGGTGCGGTTCTCGCGCAACGCAAGCCTGGATTCGCCGAGTATGTCGCCGCATATGCCAGAAGAACTCTCACCAAGGCTGAATTGAACTACAGCATAATTGAGAAGGAATGCTAGGTAATCATTTGGGCGCTTCTCAAGTTCTGCCCATACCTTTGTGGCCGTACTTTTGATGTAGTAACGTACCACCATGCATTATGCTGCCTGTCTTCGCTCAAAGATCTATCCGTTCGTCTTGCTCGTTGGGCTCTTCGGCTTCAAGAATACGACATCCACGTTGTGTACCATTTCGGTCGCAAGCATACCGATGCTGATGCACTGTCACGGTCCCCACTATTCCTTGATGTTGCATCGATTCCCTCAGACCACAGGTTGTCAGCTCTGGACGTGGACACCATCTCCTCTGCACAACGCAATGATCCATAGATCGCTTCGCTTCTTGACGTGTTATCCGAGGCACCGAATTTTCCGACCACTTGAACCCTGCGCCGTCAGGCTCCGCACTTCAGTATTTGGGACGGCGTTTTGTACCAGTTCAACTATTCAGCAGGTGGTTGGAAATGGCTACTAGTCATTCCCCGAGTGCTGCGCTCTACAACCTGCGCATCGTTTCATTCCGACTCGCAATGTGCTCACGCCGGTGTTTTCAAAACCTACGAGCGCCTACGAAAAAGGTATTCCTGGCGTGGAATGCTTACCTTCGCCCGCCAGTTCACTCGCGGCTGCCACGAATGTCAGCAGCGGAAAAACCCACCACATCCTGCAACAGGTTCATTGCAACCACTTCCATGCCCAGACCGCCCAATCGACCGCATTAGAATTGACCTGTATGGACCACTGCCATTGACAACGGCAAGCCACGGATGGGCTATCGTGGCTGTGGACCATCTTGCACGGTACACTGAAACTGCTGCTCCTCCCACAGCAACAGCACAAGATGTTGCATCTTTCCTTCTCAATCGTTTTATGCTTCGTCATTGCCCTCCTTGTGAACTCCTCAGTGACCGTGGGCATGTATTCCTTCTCCGAAGTAATGCTAGCACTTCTTCAACAGTGCCATATTGTACACAGGAAGACCACAGCCTACCACCCACAGATGAACGGTTTGACTGAGTGGTTTAATCGAACTCTGGGTGACATGCTCACGATGTATTCACTTCTGATCAAACAAACTGGGACCTCGTTTTTCCATTTGTGACATATGCATACAACACCGCTACGCAAGTCACTACCGGGTTTTCCCCATTTTTTCTCCTGTAGGTCGCCACCCATCGCACACTCAACACTTTGCTGCCGTACACGCCAGATCCCTCTGAATGCGCACCTCTCTTGGAAGCCGCTCGTCACGCAGAAGAGTGTCGAAAACTGGCCAAGTGGCTTACTACAGCCGACCAACAGTGCCAGAAGGAGACCCGCGACGACGACCATCGTTCTGCACCCATGTTCTTTCCTGGAGCACTTGTATGGCTGCATGTACTGCCTTGCGCTCCTGGTTTATCGCCCAAGCTATTCTCCAATTATATCGGCCCCTACCGTGTGGTAGAGCGTACATCGCCCGTGAACTATGCCATTGAACCTCTCATGCCACCGAGCGACTGTTGTCAGCATGGACGTGATATCGTTCATGTAGACCGTCTCAAGCTACCCACTTATCCCCACCTGCTAGATTGCCTAGATGGCTTAATCTTTTTCGCCGGGGCTGATTACAATGAAGAAGAAAGACATTGATACCATCGGCTAAGCTATCATCACCACGAGAAGAAGGGACGAGATGAGTGATCGAGCACCCTCATCTTGGTCCGCCTGCATTCCTTTTCGAGCTACGACCCGCTTGCTCGGCTCCCTCAATAAACCCCCTTTACACTATGATAGTACAAAGCTTCGGCACTTTCAGTTGTACTCTCAGTAAACGGAAATCTGTTAAACGGAACTGCTGCTTAAGTGGAACAACCTCCTCTGATATTATTGGTTTTATACTTGAATGCTGTAACCCACTTCATATTTCAGTAAACGGAACTCCTGTTAAATGGAAAACACTTTCCCGGTCCCTTCAGGTTCCGTTTAATGAGAGTCTACTGTAGTTTTAAGTTGGTCTCTAGCAAAGCTTTGGAACCATAGAGTTAATATACTTGGAATGCTCGTTCGCGGCACTGCACGCTCAGCACGTTTCAAGGGTCGTCTGAGTATGGCATTTTCTCGTGTATAACCTGTCTCTGCATATAACCGGCACCACCGACGGCAAACTGCGAGATAAAGAAATAAAGTACCCACGTATTGACACAAGACCGTTTTCTTTGCATTACCGGAAAGGTGTGCTGTGAAGCCAACTCGCTCATTGAAATTCTTGTATAATTCGCACTTCGACTTTAGCTCCAAATTTTCTGTATATTTTGATCGTGTTAACGCGAAAAAATACGTTGTGTGACCAGGTACATCCGAGTTAGCGAGATTTTATTGCATGCTCTTGCTGGTACCGTAGGACGAGTCAATCATCTGATCTCGCCAAATTTTGTGCTGTAATCTCGCTACAACGAAATTTTGTGACAATGAATTTTTTTTTGCCTGTCCTGTCGATTTCGTTGTTGTGCAATTTGATTGTACACCATTCTTTTCCGCCACCATGATTGGTTCACATGAGATCTTCAAGGCCCGCATAATGCAGGGCGTAACTATTGGCATCTTCGGCTGAGGTGCACTGGCACCGTGATGATGGAAAGGATGTTACATCAAACACCGTTCTAATATCACGCCTCTCTACGGGCCAGCCGAACGTGTGAACCACGAAACTCGAATCCGCTACAGCAGAGACGTCATTTAGCAGATGACAATTTCCAGCGTCCTGTTTGTATTGGTAATAAGAGAGCAAACAACACAAAATCAAACAATGAGAGATACTTGCGAGATGCATTGTGTCCAGTAAGGGAGCATCTGTTCTCCAGGCAGTTGTGCTGCATCGATTCTGTACCAACTTGACGAGGGTTACGGTAATTTTCGCATCGCTTTCGGTGTCCAGTAGAATCCTGGTAGCAAAAGTAGCCTTGTGCAAGTATGGTTGGACAATGTAAGCTTACGCATGCTTTTTCCATCCCGTCCGGCCGTGTTATGCGGCAGCGCCAGCTGTAAATTACGCCTGAAATGATGGAATGTTACCGTATCGTCTGCCAGCACGCATGGGCTGACGGGATTGCACCACGCTGCACCGTAGACCTCCGCGGTGCTGCCGTGGCGTGCACTTGTGTCGTGGCCGGTCAGCCGAACATGCGGCACCACACGCGTGGTGCCCAGACGGCATAGCACGAGTGCACAGAAAATGCCACCGGTGCCGCCAGCCGAAGATGCCATATGTCGGTCTGCCTTCAATCGCCCTCCTGGATAATCAAATTTTTTTTAGATTATTATTATCGGTGACAGTGTTAAGATTAGTTGCCTTGTAACCAGACTGGAGTGTGTTCATAAGTTTTCTTGCCTTGTAAGAGCAGGTGTAGTAATAGTGTAAATAATGTTTCTTCAATAAAAATTTTCTGTTGAAAATCAGCGTGCAAGTTGTGTCTACTGTTCTTTTGTGCTGCTCTGTCTCTACCAGCTATAAATACTCAGGTTTTTTTGTTTTTTTTTAGGGGGGGGGGGGGGTACATTGTGCAGTATGACATGGAAGTTTGCTTGAGTAGCTCATAGAACTCATCAAAGAAAACCGGATAGGCACTGGATTGAAATGTGGTAATGTTATCCTACACTTTTTCTATGCTTTTCCTGTTTTTGAGTACAGTTCAAAAAAGGATAGGATCCAGCTTGCCCATCTTTCAAATCTATTGCAGTTTATGGCTTTTTTGTACCAAACTAAGACTCGCCTTTGGTTATATCTCAAAGGCATAAATAGTAGCATGAAAAAAATGATGTTAAAGTTGATGAAGGATCCCAAAGGCACTTTGACGAAGTTCAGTCGCCCACATCTGTTCTGTGACAAGGGGAAAATTATCTGTCTTTGTATCTTTTCCTGTCTTACCTTTCTTTTTTATTTCTCTCTCCTCTGTACTTCTAACGTCGATCAGAGTTATTGCCTCTCATGGCTGATGAAGGAGCGCGCAATTTCTGGGAGTGAGGATGAAGAGAGTGCATGTTGGTGCCCGATTATGATAGCTCTCTGCTGTCGCCACACGGCATAACGAGAAGCTTTACAAAAATGCTCAGCCGTGAAAGGAAAGTGCAATAAAGGCAAGACATGGTAGCAAGTAGATTGTTCTCATTCAGTGTTACGGCTGCAGTGTACATGCATAGCCTAACAAAATATGGCTTTCTTCCACCAGGCCTGTCTGACCGCAGCTGCCGGCTGCTAGCCTTGAGAGAGCTCATCAAAAGCCTACCACCAGCAAACTTTGAAATTCTCAAGTTCATCTTCCAGCATTTTGTCCGGTGAGTGAGGTTTGCATGGCACGTCGGCACTCGAAAGGTGCTGACTGTGCTTCTTCTGTTACTTTCTGCTGCTACTTCCGATTCAGCTCAATGTCATTGTGCTCTTGTGCAATGGAAGGATTTTGTTACTCACTTGAAACTTGCTTCTTGGGGGGCCACATACACCCTTCTTGTGGCTGTGAAGCTAGCTTTTCTGCAACGCAGTATGCACAGCTTTGGCGGCACAGTCACTTTTGAAAACAGCGCAGTTTGCTTTCGCCATGACATAGAGGGCATAGACTCGGCGCTATCAGTATTGTCATGACCAAAAAACACTGCCCAGTCAAGTAGGAAACATGAGTCACATGATAGAGACTACAGCACAAATGACAGCCACAAGACAGTGTGGACACAAACACGCTGCTGTTTTTGTGCCAACTCTGTCTTGGGCTTCTTTAGTTTGAGCTGTAGTCTTAACCATGCTGAACCAACTAGCCAAATCTTCAGCCCTAGGACCTTTTTTACGGAGAGGAGGATTTCCTTCTTTCTGGGCTGTTGCACGAGAGTACAAAAGTCGACGTCACAGTCCTCAGCAGTGCATTTTTTGGGAGGTCTCGTGCACTAACAACAGCCCAGAAAGGACTATGGCAGCACACAGGGAGCCTTGAGTGAAAAAGCCTATTAGCAGCAGCTAGCAACCTCTGAGAGGAAGACTAAGTTGAAACAAGACGCACGAAATATACAAAAAATTTGATGCAAACTGGGGTGCAGTTTAATACATGGATTTTGGTGTGCGAGTCGGTTTCACTGTAATGCAAGAAGTCTTGGGGGTGATTGCTTACACAAAACATATCTTTTTGTGCTTCAAAGATGCTCGAAAACTCTCTTTTTACTGTCTTGAAGCTGTGCCAGAACTGCATTATTCCTGCTCCCCGGGCTTCCCCGAAACACCAAAGACCGCTTCTACCTCAGCATTCTACATTTAATGTGGAACAGTGTGAGCTATTAATGGCTTATAAACAATAAAATTTAGTGGCAAAAAAGGTCTGTCCAAAAGGATTTGTGTTTTACACAAAGTCATGATACAAGACGAAAACCGTGCAACTTCGTGTAAAACTGATTAGATATTTTCAATTAGCATAAAAACTTACGTATGGTATAACCTGATTGCAACAGACCTCCATACTCCATAGTGAAGAGGATTTTGGTTTGTTGTAAAAGGAGTATGTAACATCCACTGTACTGTTGCAACAGACTTTTATGGAAACACTGAATGGGTCTGTTACAACCGGAGAGAATTACAAGTCATATAGTACAGATTTATTCTCAATGGGGCCTAAAAATTAAAATTTTTTGAAAATCTCTTTTTCAGTTTCTGTAGCTATTCTTTAGTAGATTCCAAAATATCTTCACTGATAACTATGTAGAAGTGCTGTAAAAAGTTTTTCTGCCTGCCGAGGTGGTGAAAATCATTGTGGAAGCTACAACAACAACAAAAAAGAAACGGCGTTTCTCGAAAATTTCTAGCTTCACAACTGCCCACCACCATTTTGGGCTTGTTGTAAAAATATTTCATAAAAAGCACTCCGTGTTCAATATCCCGGCTGCAGCGGCTGCATTTCCGATGGAGGCGGAAATGTTGTAGGCCCGTGTGCTCAGATTTGGGTGCACGTTAAAGAACCCCAGGTGGTTCTGCCTTGTTGCTCCGGGATAGCATCGTCTGCTTCTTGTGCGGGACGGGGTTGCGGCTGTCTAAAATCGCGTTACTGAGTGACATTTTCGCATTTGTTCTGTGTTCACGGGTCTACAACGATTCAAGATACAATTACGGCTTAAGGCATCTGCAAGCGGGAGTTCAGTCATCAGATTACAATCGCGCACTGCACTCGTCACATACATCGCACACGTGCAGCTTGAACCGATTGTTACAGCGTTTACTCATTGGTGAGAAAGTTGTGCTTATCAGTGCTTCGAACCTCTTGACAAAGACTGCCGCGGTACTTTATTTTTGTATTCGCGATCAAGCATGTCATACCTTGAAACATCGGGTGCCACAGCTATGCACATCGCAGCCGCATGTCTGCTGGAAATTGTGGCTAAGCCTAACTCCGCCCCGAACTTGGGGGGCAAGACCATTGCGCTAGCGGATATGTGATTGTGAAGAAGCCGTAATGTGATTCGTCGCAAGCAACGCATAACATCGGCCGCTGGCTACTTAGAACCGTGAATAGGCATCTGGCGCATGGATAGCAGACCATGGCCGAACTCGCCAAGCACCAACCACTCGAAACAGCGGTGGCAGCGGCCAGCACATTCGCGCGTCAGCACCCAAACGCTCAAGACCAAGCATGCTGCGCATCAATTTTTGTTGCCGTAGCTTGGCATAACTTGTGGGGTCTCGAAAATGAGAACACCACGCTCTTGAAGTGGACGGGCACAGAAAACGCGGTCAGGAACAAACCAAACAACACACATTTGTTTAACCGCTTTTAGAACAACGATATCGAATTATTATAACATCAATTGGGGTCAAATGCTAAATAACCTTACACATTATTACACCACACTCAACATGACAAAACAAACACAAGAACACACTCAAGGTGGCTTCGCCAATGCTTGACTCACCACAAGGTTCCCCGGCGTGCTACCTGCGGTGCCGCACACCGGGGACCCTTGCCAGAGACAACCATTTGTGCCGACCGCCACCCGCCAAAGAGAACCGCTCATATCTCGAGCGCCACCACCCAGGCCTGCCGCCAGGTGCCACTGCCGGCACTACGCACTAAGCATGATGATGATGGTGGTGATAACAAATGCTCGCAAGCACAACGCCCCTTACTGCACGGTAGTTGTGGACCCGAAACGCGGCCTATAAATGAGAAACGCGCACCGTGAGGCACAAGTAACTTTACAAGGAGTGTTAGCACTCCCACAAACTAATAATTAACAGATCGGAGATCGGTGGCCTTTGTTCCTAAATCGGTATGTCTATCTGCAGCGCTATTCCCTGTCCTAAAAGCATGCCAAGCAATGTTTGAAGTTGGAAGTAATAGAATTCGATATGTCTGTGGTAGAAAAGTCTGCTGTAAGAAAGTCCTGACGACTTTACTGGCCTCACATTTTAATCAAATATATCCGAATGTCCGTTGTATCATAATCCGTGGTAAACCAAGCTCAATCAATGGAACAAATAGGGAGGTTGGCGTAAGTGCCGCTAATCAGTATGTCTGTTGTAAGCATATTTGTTGTAATAAGGTTATACTGTAGACAGTAAAAATTTCATTGCCTTAGGCCACAAATTGAAAAACTTCTTTTTTGTAGCATGTGCCCTTGAAGCGGAATCGGGCTGTAAACATGCAATAAAGACGAGACCTGCTGTCATGTAGCGAGAAATCTGCCTCATTTGATTCATGACTGGTTGTAAGAAGAAGTGTACAGAGATTACGAAAAAGATCTATCACTACTTTTGCAGATATTCTGATTCACAGTGTGTTTAGTGCTTCAGTAGTTATAGAGTCAATCATAGATTGGCAAGACTGAAGAGTCTTTTTGATTTATATGTGGGTTTTAACGTCCCAAAACCAACCCATGATTATGGGAGACGTCGTAGTGGAGGGCTCCAGAAATTTCGACCACCTGGAGTTCTTTAACGTGCACCCAAATCTGAGCACATAGGCCTACAGCATTTTCACCTCCATCAAAAATACAGCCGCCCCAAGCCTGGATTTAATCCCGCGACCTACGTGTCAGCAGCCGAGTACCTTAGCCATTAGACCACCGCGGCAGGGCTGAAGAGTCTTTTTAGCGAGGCTAATGGGTGAAACATAGCTGTAAAATAGAGCATACAATTAAAATGAACACAATATGAAGATGGCAAGATTAAGTGCCTTTACCAGTTGTTTTATTAGACCTCTGAACAATTGGCTACATATCGCACAGGACAAAAATATTTGCAGAACTGCAGTTCTAATTGAAAACAACAAATGATAACAGATAATGGTTTCTTGATTTCATGTGACCAGATTTAGCAAGTCTTGCAAAAAATACACTTCAACCTCGTTATAATGTAACGAACTATAACGAAATAATAGATATAACAAAGTAAATGAAATTCCTCTTGAAGGCTCTATTGAGAACCATGCATTTTAAACCTCGTTGTCGAAGTAAAATTCACCGGTAAATGGATATAACGAACTAAATTAGTCTATGAAAAACCCGACTGTGTTGTGTTAAGTATTTCGTTTTCTACAGAGTTTGACGCTCGTTTGGCACGGCTCTTTCAAAACTTCCGCGCCGACCTTACAGCCACGCCCCGCGCGGCCGAGAGAGCCGTACTCCTCACACAGCCAGCGGAGGGATTGAGGAAGCGCTCAGGGGGTCACATGACCGAGAAGCGGCGTCGCGGTGCAAAGCGATTTCTCTCTCACGACGGCAACGACTGCGTCTTCGCTGCTACCATGGCTGCTACTCTCTGCATCGATAAAGGAATACTCTCCGCGACAGCTTCCTTTATTTCTTTCTTTCTCTCTCTCCGTGCACGGCCTTGAAAGGAGAAAAGTCTCTACGTGCAGAGACGGAAAAGGGAGAAGCGTGGCACAGGCGCGTCACAGATCGGTATTTGAGAGAGAGCAAACAATCCGCCACAGTCTTTTCTTTCCTTTTCTTTTCCTTCTTCGCACGCAGCGTTGAGAGGTGCCACCGCGGGATTGGGCATGGTGCTGAGAGCATTTTTGTAGCGCGTTATGTTCGAATTAACCGTCGCAAGTGATTGTGCATTTGAATTACAGGGTGTTTTCGCTCATTGGAATACACATAGCATTCACGGGACCTCAGCATGAGTTCAAATTAACCGGAAGTTCGAATTAAGCGTGTTCGAATTGAGGTTCGACTGTATTCATTTTCTGTTGCACGCCCGTAGCAGTACATTGGACCGCAAGGCGGTTTCCTTCTTTGCATGCTTATAGGTGTGAGCCCATCTGAGCACACATTGCCGCCAACTGTTATAATCAATATAACGAAATAATGGATATAATAAAATAATTGTGGCTCCGCTTCAACTTCATTATAACGAGGTTTAGTGTACTTGCCGTGGAAACATTGATGAGATTCATCTTGCCCCTATTGACCCCCCCTCCCCCCCCCCAGTGCTGGTTAGCGAACCGGCTGTCTGGTTAATTTCCCTGCCTTCCTCTTTGTCCCTCTGTCTTGGTGGGTTTCATACCATGAATGGCTGCTGTCTTGTTGTTCCCAGAGTGGCTGAGAACTGCCGCCTGAACAGCATGGACAGCAAGAACCTGGCCATCTGCTGGTGGCCCACACTGCTGCCACTCGAGTTCAGCGACATGGGTGTGTTTGAGAGAGTGCGGCCACATCTTGAGGACGCTGTGCAGACCATGATCGACCAGTTCCGCTTTCTCTTCTGTGACCAGGACGAGGTACTCAGCGTCTGACCGACCATTTGTTTTTGTTTTTTCATCTTCGCCGTCGCCACCGCTGCTATCATTGCTGCTACCATTACTACTCTGGCGCTCGCTGGTCTCGGGTCTGACCAGCCGAACGTTGCAGCACGTTCGACGTGGCATTCCTCCCGTGGCCCTATCTTGTGCCGACCTGGCTGCTGCCGCTACGTCTAAGGAGTGCTGTCTTCAAGAATCTCGTGTGGCCAACGTCGTTGAGTGCTGTCTGTGCACGAGTGTGTATACGTGCGTGCACGTCTGTGGCGGCGCTTTTAATTTATTCGTTGATTTGACACTGAGGCTGTGCGGTAAGGCACTGTGCCGGAGCTGGGGGGGCCGAGGTTTTCTTTTTTTCTTTTTTTGAATACCCCCCTTTTTTTTACTTTCCTCGGCACGACCCTGTGATATTTGTACATTTTTATTCCTCAAAGGTCCCATGTACATTTGTTCCCGTCACTAGTTTTTTCTTCCCAGCATTGCTTCTGTGTCCAAAGTCTTTTGTACAGTGCAAGCAGTTTCTTTTAGCGACAGGAAAGGGGGGAAAGGGACTCGTGCTCGTGGGGCTTCTGACTGTTGAACAAAGCAGCCCACTCTTCGGTTGTCTTCAACTCCCACTGTCTTCAGGTTTTCGTACCTTTCTCTTGCGTTTCCTCCTCGTACACTTGCCTCAAACAATCTTTAGTGCGACCGAAGACGGTGGTTGTCAAAAGCTTGTCTCTTAATATGTTTCATTGGGCCTAGGTGTTGCCTCAAACAAAATCAAAGCCACTTGCTACACGACATTCATAACTTCTAAGTGGGTGGTGTAATGATTGCCAGCTTTTTTTTATTATTATTATTATTATTATTCGTCTTGTGACGTCTGGTCTTGGTTCACCCTAAAACTACGGTGGTGAAATGCCAGCATTAATGTATACACTTTTAGCTTTTATTATTATTATCAATGATTTCTTTTTTCGAAAGTAATTGCCGATGCGAGAATCTACTCAGTAGACACACTTTTATAAGGAAACGTCCTACCAGCTTTCAATTGAGCATGCCTATGTGGCCGAAAATGTGGGAATGGTGCCACAAAATGTAGACAAGTGCGTGATCTTCAAAATTATTTTTTAAGTGCCACACTCGTAACTGTCATTTTGATAGCCAACGTGCTGTAGTGTTTTGTGTACTGATGCGCCAATAGGAAAGGGCTTTACTCTTTTTTTGAATGCGTTTTCTTTTTTTGACTCATTGCTGGCATAAAAACTACAATGTTTATGTTAGTGTCATCATCCTGCTGTTCTGGTGTGGATGGAACATTGACATTGCTGTCAAAGTTTGCCAAGAAATGTTCAGTGGCAGACTGATTATTGAACAGCAAGACCCTCATTTGCACCTGACATTAGCACGGCATTCGCGGCACCCCTGTCACATGGGCCAACTTTGGTGCACTTTTGAGGGAGTGCACTTCACTGCTTGTGTCATTCACATGCTGTAACATGGGACCGCTTAGTGCCACTCTTTGCAATGCGCACATGCCGGCACCTCCATTCATCGAATTCGCTTTGTTACTTCACTGTATCTGGCCTCGGTAACACTCGCCATAAATGAGTTATCAGAAGCTGAGTTTGTAACACATCTTGCAAACTATTGTTTTTTGTTATGAGGAATACTGTTATGCATCGAAACATACTATACCGCTAAAACTAGTCTGCTGTTCTAGCTCTCAGGCAGTTTTCTGCCTCAGCCACCTTGCTGAGCACATGGCTAGCAATGGCCGCATATTTAGCTAAAGTTTATGTAAGGGCTGGTTTTTATTGCTTTAAAAAACTGAGGGCATATTGCACTAGTGCAATGCTGAAATGCACAGTGGAACTTGCAATAGACCTAGTTTCTTCCAGTTTCTCTAAGCTTGGCAAATTATGCTAGGCCTGCTTAAGATATGCTAGGCTTGGGCTAAATGTGTCTTGGAATATCTAGGCTTACTTAGGCGTAACTCTACTTGGCTTTATTATCATTACTTAATAAGTCATAATGTAATTATTTTTACTTAATTAGGTTGTTTTATTAACCTTGGCTGTGCTAGTCTACATAATTAACTTGAAAATAATCACACTTGCCTTAGTTTGCCCTGATGTAGTAAGACCTGGTTTAATTGGTCTTCACTTTTATAGACCTGGCTTAGTCGTTGCTTGATTGGATTAACTTAGTAGTGTTGACTTAGTATAGGCTTAGCCAGTCAGCCCAATCAGTATTACTTGGGACTAATTCGCTTAATTAGTGTTGCTTGCAACAATTAGCTTGATCTCTCGCCCCTAAGATTCATTGCGTACCGCTGCCAGACAATCGGCGCCCGTGTCTGAGCGAATCAGAAGGTGGAGATGATGAAGTGAGCACATGCTGGTTCATGATCATAATTTCTGTTCGCATTACTTGGCGCAACGAAAAGCCTAAACAGTCCTGCTGTACAAATATTGCCTGAAATAGCACATATTTGTTGAGATATTCGAGCAGCCATCACCTTTACCACCGATTCCAAAGTGCGCTTTTCTTTTGTGTAGCAACGTGCTGCCAAACTGACATTCTAAGTGCACTGGTTAGAAATGGCAGAACTCGCTGTTGTGACAGGGGTGTTGGGCATCGTGGCACAGCAAAAGTTGTTGATGTCATCCTGCAATAAAAGCCACTTTATGACACGCTAAAACAGTGGTTTTCAAGGTGGTAACAGAGCGAAATTCGCTGTCAGTGGTGAAACGGTCATTTGCTCTCATCGGAAGGATTAGCGGTGAGCAACCAATTGATTGGAAATTTCTTCTGTAGAGCGATAGGAGTGATATTGCCTTTGGGACGCACCAAAATTTCCCCTAGCCGACTGACCCTTTAAAATTGTGTCGACTTGTTTCAGTTATGGCCACTGTCCCACATTAAAAAGTGAGTTTTGACTTAAATGTGTTTTTAATAACAAGATACATGTGCTCTTTGCTACGATTTAAGAACAGTTAACAATGTCATAATGCACTGATTTTTTCATTGCATTTGAAAAATTGTGCACTGTTTGTCACGCCAGCTGCAAATATAAAATTTGTAGCCCTTCTGAAACAAAATCACCATTGGTGGTGAGACCTAGCCAAGTAAATGTTGCAAATGGAATCGTATATATTGCTACAATTGCAGCATGTCAAGTAGCCCCAAAGCAATGTACGATCACTTAGCTTACAAGAAAGAAAGGTTTACATGAATTCTTGAAGAACTTTTTCCTTTCTGTAGTCATAAGGCAGCTGCAATGATGACAGGAAAGTAGAGAGATGGTGTGCCATAACCTCGCGACTTGCATCGTCATTACTAGCACTTCTGGCTTGCCAGCCTTGATGCAGCATCTGGCTAAATATTTGAGGTCTTGCTTTGGATGCGTGTCTGCTATTGAATTAATCATATCACCTCATAATTAGGCCTTGTTGTCAAATGGTATAAGGACTATGCATCACTGTGTCATAAATCGTGCAGCAATTGTTTGCAATGCCAGTATTCTAGGTGTGCCACGTACAGTGCAAAAGGAATAAGCAACACAAAGCATTTTTAATTACTTTTTTTAATTACATTTCGTAGCATGACTTGCAAAGTCAGAGGGATCGGAATCGCAAGAATCAGTCTGCTACTGCTCATGTGAATGAGCGGTTCACTGGCAGCAAAAACATGACTAGATACCCATATTGAATGTACCTCCAACTTGTTTTCTGCAGTGTTGTCAATCCTGGAAGCATTTGAATCATGAATAAGTGCATCATAGTGACAATGAGGGTCATCTGCTTTGTACAGTAACCACCTGAAACGTTTATTGGACAGGACTGAAAGTGCAGTCGTTGCATGACATGAAATAGCGGACATGGAAATGCTGTACGACACCACACCACAAATCTCAGCAGTGTGTTTCAAGTGGTCACTGTTTGAAAGTGTTCATTCGTTCAAATCAAAACTTGGAAACTTTTTTGGCAGCATTCTTTGTAGAGCTCTGCATATGGTGCCATGGAGGGCTTTCACTTCCTGCGTGCATTGGTGTTCTGAATGTCGGAAAGCCTTTGAGCACTGTGCTTTCTGTTGAAACCAGTTTGTCAAATCCTTGTAAGGTGGATCGGGTTTCTGGGCAAGCAGGATTTTGGAAGCGCTACCGCTTTTGTAGCAGCTATGAAAACAAGGAATGTTGCGGGCGAAGTGACAGCCAATCTTGCCAAAGTTTCTGGACTAAAATTTGCAACGGAAACACAAGATGCCCTAAATAGAAAAGACAGGACATGTTGTGTTTTTTCTATGTACCAACTAGGCCCAAATGAAGTTTTATTGGGCTTCCTAAAGTTGTCTCAGTCCAGTGTGTTTCACTCCTATGGTTTGCTTGCCGACTGTTGGAGTTCACCTATGAATTAATCAGCGTTGGCAAGGTGACATTTATGTAATCGTCAATCAAGCAAAAGCACCGAGCAATGCGTAGAAGAGCTATCACATAGGCAGATAGCCAAATGTTTTTGATAGTTCTTTTCATGACGTCCTGTGCTTTTGGTATGGCACTGTTATCGTTGGTGCACAAACATGCGTCATTTCTTGATATTCGTGGAAAACCATTTATAGATTGAAAATTAGTTATCGTAGTGCAATTCCAAGCACCATCTCGTGGAATCATGTTTTGCCGTGAATGCAGTGTGTGGTGCAAGAAGCAGCTGTGCAATACCTATTTTGCGATAGCCACTTCCAGATCATGCTGAAAAATTCTTTTTGTCTCTTCAGTTGATGCACTTTCACTTTCATTGTTATTGCCTCCTCATTTCATTGGGCCAAAGATGGAATTCAAGCTTGCTGGAGGTATAACTGGCTTTAGCAAACAGTGCTGTTTCCCCTGTTTTCTAGATTAAACGGTTAGGCCCATAAAACTTACTTTCAGGACTGCAGCCACATGCATTCTTTGCTTACAGAGGTTTTTTTTTTTTTTTCATTGGTGCAGAAAATTTGTGTGGAAGTTGGTGGTGCGGCTGCGTTATTGGCTTGAAGAATTTTGCGTAATGTTCCTGCATTTAGTTCGTTAATACTTTAGCACTGTGTGAATGCCACCGTGCTTCATCTGTTACTAGTACAACAGTGCCAAAGCTACATAGCTTGCGGCTCCGCCGCAGTAGTCTAGTGGCCAAGGTACTCGGCTGCTGACCCGCAGGTCGCGGAATCAAATCCGGCTGCAGTGGCTGCATTTTCGATGGAGGCAGAATTCTGTAGGCCCGTGTGCCCAGATTTGGGTACATGTTTTTAAAGAACCCCATGTGGTCGAAATTTTCGGAGCCCTCCACTGCAGTGTCTCTAATAATAATGTGGTGGTTTTGGGACATTAAACTCCACATATCAATCAATTACATAGCTTATGCTGCAGTGCCATGCCGTCTTCTTCCTGTATTGTTTTTCTTCATTCTACTGCATAAATAGGGGCTGTTTCATTGTTTTTTGTTGGTGCGGTGCAGCAACGAGGCTCGATTGTAGAGAAAACCAAAATGGATGAATAGGAACTAGTCTTATAGTGTTGTACTTTCGTACAATGAACTATCAGATGAAGTTTAAAAATCACACTTTTTTATATTGCCATCTTTGGTTGCAGCAAATATCTAATATAACTGATGTAGGTGATCTTTCCTCAGATGTGACTTTGTCGTTGCTACTAAGCTCTGCCATGCAGAATGAAAAGGCATTTTTTATTCGCCTCAGGATACTGCGCTTATGACACTAGCCAAATAGTATAATAAACAATGAAAAGAGAGAGAAAAAAACGAAAGGGAAGAACTACATGACAAATGCTGACTGCCAACTGGAACACTTATTCCGCATAACCTACGCTTAAATAACAAATCTGCATACCACATCTACATGAGGGGCCGGTTTGAAAAGAAGTTACAAATTCACTATCTGTGAAAGTGCAGATGGCTGAGCTCTTTGACAAACAAAACATTCGTGGCCTGGGCGACGCGTGCATCTGCCAGAGCTCTGATGTAGGCAGCTTCCGCAATTTTCCGCTGGATTTTCCCCCTGTGATGATATAAAATGGTGGTGTTGAAAACTGTGGAAGCACAATGCGCAATAAATGTTTCAGCCAGCACTCAGCATTCGGCCTATGCAGCTATTCAGTTTTGTCTCTCATATTTTTCAGATGTACATTATTGTGCATTCATACCAATTAGCGCAGCTTAGCACTGTTTCAAACCAAATGGCATGCCTCATTTACATACTTTTGGCTGTAAGATTTATTGCCTGCATATTTTTGAATTTTTCAGGAGGAATATTTATTTCCTCTCTGTCCATGCTGCTTCAGCTTTCATGCCGCTGTAACTTTGGCATAACGGAATCCTTGTCTTCAGCTGCAAGGCTCAGAATGTTGGCATTGCCTGGTAAAGGTTCTAACGGGTGCTTTTACAATACAGTCCAGACTTCTGTCCAGCATCGTTCTTGTTGTGTTTGTAGCTACATTAGCATCTTGGGCCACAGTTGCACTGCATGTGAACCCAGCTTCAAAAGCTGACTGACCATTTATGTACTCCGCCACATTAATTTTCTTTACTTTGAAAGTGAATGAAAGATTGTTTTCTTCTTTCTAGTTACCGCCAAAATTTGCTCTTTTTTTACAATCTAGCTGAGTGCCCCACATTAAGTAATGGACGTCACGTAATATTGGCAGGCTGTTTGCAAAGACACATTCATCGATCATTACTTGACTCCTCAATAAAGCTTTTGAAGTGAGGCTTGACCTATATTGAAAATTGGTTCGATTACACAACTTGTGCTGCTGTATAGGAAATTAAAGGTGCGACTTCACGAGGCACATAGCTTCTGTAGTATATCTCTGGCACTGCAAAGAGGGCTCTCGTCATACGATATTCTATCTCGTTAGGACCACACCTCAACTTGTTTCTTTCAACTTGAACCTTGAGCACAGTACTGCGTTTTCAGGCTCGAGTCTCTTCGCAGTTGTGACTTTCAAATGCCCGAAACCTTGCCCATGTTGGTCGCATACTTGTAGGGCAGTGCGCATGACTCACCAACTCGTCAGAGGGAAGCAACTATGTAGATATACGGGTTATGTTGATGGGTCATGTACAAGGCGTATAACACTGCTGCCCACTGTCAGTTGAGTGTATCTGTTGATGGCTTGTGTGCACGATTACTCTGCCGGCATGTTGAAGCTGAGGTTTCTCTGAATTTTTGTTTCAATTTTCATGAAGGCTTATGCAGCGGAATCCTGTTCTAAAAGATAAAACCAAAGCCTGCTGCCAGCAAATTATTTCGTAATGTCCAATGTACTTATCCAGCATGTCGATATTCTCCTGACACCCACTCATTGACTGTCTATTCTTCACTAAGGCAGAGGCTTCATAACTTTGTGAAGCATTGAAGTAGGCAAAATTGCACTGGTCACCTTTGTTTAGGAGTCTTCTTCAAGTCATAGCTCTTGCACAAAGCTCGATAGCCTATTTTCTAATATTATATTTTATTGTAAAGGCATCCCAGTGATCTTGCCTAAGTCATCTTGGAGATTAAACTGTCGGTTGCTGCCATCAGCAGACAGTTTATCTGTGCTAATTGCTATTGAACCTTGTCATTCGCTTCCACAATTTGTTGTTAAGGCTAATCAGCAAGGTCTGCCTTGGCAGGATTGAGAAATGCAATGCAGCCACTATTACTGAGAATGGTGCTAGATGTGTAGCTCCATATTAGTAGCTAGCCTGCATTATCATTTGCATAGTTTGCATTGATGGTGACACTTTCAACTAGAGGTACAGTCTTGAGGACAGTCCAGTTTATTTACATACATTGCATATGGAGAGTGAAACAAAAATCAATTTATTTCGAGTCTTACCACTGTGAGCTGTTTGAGTTTTATTGTACGTCCTGTATTAGTGTACGTGAATCTGCATAGATTTCCACATTGATCAGCATTGGCTCTTTATGTGCATTGATGTGCAATTGCAATGGCTAAACCACCGAAGCATTATCTAATCATTTAGGTGGAAGTAATAGAAAGCAGGCCAAGCAGGAGGACCATGTACTGCATTGTAACATTCCACTGTCTAACTTCGAAGCAAACTTGCAAGTTCAGGAGGAATGTTAATGTAAATACATCTATGAAAATTTTGAAAATAAGGTTAGTGAAACTGTTCATTGTAACAGCTTCTTTGCCGAGTTCCACACCGATTCAACCAACCTACTCCAAGGACAGGCCGTCCAGATTGCAGTCGTAGGAGCTTGAGAAGCGTGCGACTGTGCTGATCGTGTTCGTATTCGAGCATAATGGTTCCTAAATGACCCTATGTTAGTTGCTTCCTCTAAGAAAACTCTCCATGGCACCTTCATGTGTACCTAACTAGACGTTATTTTACCACGCATTTTAGCATGCCTTGGAGACGCATTTATAATTTTCGTCACTCATCTTGCGGGAGCTGTCAAAGTTTTATTGCGATCGTTTTCATACTCGGAAAATGCAGCTGTGCCAGTGCATGCATTGCTTGTGCTGCCACACACTCTGTGGTGCTCGCCATGGAAAAAATGTATTCCGAGGTTGGGGTGCAGCTTTTTGTCACTCGTTTTTCCAAGCGCCTGCGCACCACACTGCCGCCACAAACGGGCCAAACACAAAGCCAGGGCCTGGTTAGTTGGGAGGGGTGCAGAGGTTTCAAGATTCTTGAGTATTTTTTCACGGGTGCCCCGTACTATATCTGTCTCTCTATCTCTGCCTTGGCCCTGCGAGCGCTGTATTGTCTCGAGGTCGCATCAGGAGTGCCCGCAAGAGGAGGGGAGTTGTGCTAGAATGGTGATACAAAGGACTGTGTTGTGTGACCACCACTCGTAGCCGAAAAAAAAGCGTAGCATGCCTGTGTGTGTTTGTATGTATGTGCGTGTGTGTCTAGAAGCTGTGTGTATGTTTTTCCTGGTTTCCCTGGAAAGCCTTCGCGCAGTGGTGGGCTACACCTCCTCTGCGGGCGGAGATGAGACTGGGGGATTGGACGATGGAGAGTGTGTATCATATGGCACGTGCTTTGTGCCCAGAGACGTGTTTGTGAGTGATGTAAAAGAAAAAATAAAAGTGAATTATAGAGCTAGGAGAGGAGACCAACCTGTGTTCACTTTTCAACAAGAAAACAAGAACACCTTTGTTATATATGTCAACAAAAAAAAATGGCTCGGAAGCGAGGCCAGGAGGACTGCCAGGTAGGTTTGAGATGCATCTGAACAGCATCGCACAGCCACTCTGGCATTTTTGACCCACTGTTACGTGGCCGTTGGATGTTTGACTGCGGTCGAAGACGCCCTACCCGACATTGCCACTGTGCCTGAACACCTACAGGCTGCGCCTGCACCAGAGGCCATGCAGGTAGGAGACGCACCGCTGGTAGATCCTGCGGACGTCCCACCACCGGGTGCCGCCCGTGTAGAAGTCGTCCGAGCTGACAGTTGAAGACGTCGTCGGCATTGCGACCAAGGCCCTCCTGCTGCCCGGCCCTACACGGCGTCGTGTTGGTTGCTGCGTTGCGTCGTTGACGTCCAAAGTACCACCGCCCCCCTGTCCGGCGGCGGCGTCCCGCCGGGTCGCGGCGGCACTTGAGCAGACGCTGCAGACGCACGCACAGTCCGGCCCATGGGCGTACCCACGTCGGCCGCGGTCGCTGCTCGATTCGCGGCTCCAGCGGGTCCTCGAGCCACGGCTTCAGCAGCTTGCTCGTGGACAGCACGGATGGATCGACCACGCGAACGGGCGTCCGTGGTGGAGTGGGACTCGTGCTTTGGACATAGCTGCTGCCGCTGGTGGTGGTCGTGCCGTCGGAAAAGCGGTCGCTGCTGTCACTGTTGCTTAGGCTTTGGTAGCCCTGCGCGATGTAGTCCTTCTGAGTGGACCTGGTCGACGACGTGCTGCTCAGGAGCGACGTGGTACTGGGCGTGGTGCGGTAGTCGACGCGCTGGCTGCTCACGTCCAGGATGCGCGCCGCGGGATGCTGCTCGTCCTCTTTCTCGCCGGCCGTCTTGGACGTTTGTGAGAGAATGCTTGCGTGACTCGTCGACGTATCGGCCGAACGTGGCCGTAGAGGGATTTGCTCGTTCTCGGCGTCTTCCTCCTCCCAAGGAAAGATGTCGAACGTGGAACAGAAGTCGAGCGACAGGAGTGAGCCGGCCGGTGTCAGGTACTCCGTGGACTGGCTGACGTCGCTCTCAGCCCGCGTCTGGTCGGCCGCCACGTCGCCGCCCATGCCGGAGGAGGGCCACGGCAGCTGGCCCGGCACCGTGCACCTACCATACTCGTCACCGGCGCCGGCGGTACCAGTTGTGGTGGAGCACGGAGTCTTGAACGGGTCGTTGCTGCACGAATGCGTCGCATAAATGACGAAATATGTGCACCCACGAAATTCGATAAAGTACGACGAATGCGGACTGCTGTGGCTTTCGAAGGGGGAAAATGTGACATGACGAGTGTTAGCTATACCACATCGTGACACTGCAGCTCTAGGCCTTTTCGCAGGACGGTTCCTGAGCACTGCCTGTGTCCGCTCTTTGCTGTGGTAAATAGACATGACACCCCCCCCCCCAAAAAAAAAGCGCACTGCCGAGGCATTAACATCAATCTTTGTACTCTCATGCCACAGTCCAGAAAGGTGTTTCCTCACCTGTGAAGGGGTTTGTAGGCTTTTTACAGAGAGAGGGTTCTACTTTCTGGACGGGGTACAAAAGCTTATGGCAGCATCGGCAGTGTGGTTCTGGGTGTGGCGCGTATTAACAGCCCAGATAGGATCACGGCAGTGCCCTGCAAGCCTTCGTTGACTATGTGCCAGCAGTGATGCTAAGGTGTACGGACTCGCTCGCTGTATTTCGTGCCGACCGGTTGTGCCCCCGCGGTCTCCGACGACAGCGCAGCTCTGGCCGACTGAGCTCGCCCTACGCCATCTCCTGACGCCGGCAAGAGCTCTCGCCGAGTGGTGCCCCGTCCCCGGACTCCCGCGACCGTGTCCATCTTTCCTATCTCCTCTTCCGTCGCTCGTGGTCCCTGCGCCTCGCTCTCTCCGTCCTCTCTCTCTATATATATACATTTTAGTCCTATCCTTTTAATCTCCTTGCCCCCATCCCTTGTGAGCTACTGTTGAGGTGTCGCACTCTGATGCAGACAGTTACGGGACTCACTTTTCTCTTTTCCCTTTAAGATTCACATAAGCTAAGGTGTACGAACTGCTCGAGCGCTGGAAAAGTGACGCATGCCTGGCCGCCGCTTTATGGTGGCCCTCTAGCCACCATAGCCGCTTGTTTCGCCAGCGCGCCTATTAGTGCAGCAGTTGTCTAGTTTAGCCTACCGCGCATTGTCCTGTCTCTCCTGGCAGGGCTGGCGGTCGGCGTCGTCTTCACGAAGCGGGGATAGCGGGGCGGCCTCCATGGCTGCAATGACCAGTCGCTTCGTCCTTTTTGGCGTCAGATACGTGTTTCCACGTGCCGCCATGAGTACGTGCCAGATGCGCGTTCATGCATGTGCAGACGCGTATCCCCATGAGGGAGTAAAGAAAAAGCTTAAATAGAAAAATATTAGTCCTTTTTGAGGGCTAACAAAGTTTTCACAACCATTACTCTTTTAGGGGAGTAACAGCGAGTGCATGCATGCATGGCTACTGTTCACGCAGACGGATACCCCATGTGAGGGTAAAAAGGGCGTGGAATTAAAACGGCACTAAATGTGTGCTGAGCATTTCAATAATAGAAAAAAAATGGCAGATCTCACGTACAGTGGGAATCGGTTATGTGAAAAGCACGAATGAGTAAGGTTGATATGCCACTTTAAAATCGGCACAACGTTACGAGGTGGAGGTAAATGATACCGTACATGACTTCCGTGTCATGATTATCGTGTTTGGATGCGTCGTTTACATTCGTCATCTATTCACGTTACGTGATAACAAAGTTAGTATATGTAGAGCTAGCGAAACGACCGCGAGCACACTATGAACGTGGTATGTTGTCATGTTCTTGCATGACAAGGGTGTCAGGATTATCATGTTTGCACCAGTCATATATTTCGTCATCCATTTGCGTCCAGTAACTCTAAATTTGTTACGTGTGGAGCAAGAAGAGCAAGAAAACGGCCACGAGCGCATCATGAAGGGCCCAATATACTCCAATGTAGCGTTGATGGTGAAAACGTATTTATTTATTTATTTACATGAAATTTTCTGCGGAGAAGCTCCGAGTAGTCGGAGATGCTTGGCTTGCGGTGTGTGTGTGGGGGGGGGGGGGGGCTTAGTGCAGGGCTCTGCTTGCAGCAGCTGCTCTGCGGGCCCGGTTGATCAGACCCAACTGATCTTCCAGGTTCTCGCTGGCCAGCGGCTCCTCCCATCGCTCCGCTGTTGGATTTTGCACTGGTTGTAGCTGTAATGGCCTGACACTCCCACGTGACGTGGTACAGAGTGGCTTTAGCTGAACGCCATGGGCAGAGAGGAGAGTATGCCGAGGGGTGCATTTTACTCGGGATGTGCAAATTTGGAAACGTGCCGGTTTAAATTTGCCTCCAGCTCACCGATTCCCCTTTATTTAGTGTTCGGTGTGGTAGCGAATAAGCTTTCCTAAGTCCTCTGTAATGGTTTAGGATGGCCGAACAGTCGCAAGGGACCGGAACGAGTTCCTCAGGGGCGGAGTTGGAAGGTGCTCGGCTCGCATACCCTCAAGCTACCCTATCCGCTGCCTGATTCCCCTCCCGTCCCATGTGGCCCGGAGTCCATATAATCCGATGCCAAATTCTGAGTGGATGTGTAATGGAGTGCTCGCCAGTGTCTGTAACGCTCAGGATGACGTTGAGAGCGGGTTGGCTGATGCGCCCCTGTAGGTACAAGCTGCTTGAGAGTCCGTGAGAACTGTCAGCGACCTTCGTTGACTGTAGCCGAGGGCGAGAGCGAGCGCGATGGCAGTTTCTACCGCACGGAAGCGCTGGTACGTTCTGTGAGTGTGTGGTCCACGACTGTGGCTACAGCCTTATTGTTTGCATGGTCGTAGTTGGCGGCGTCAACATAGTACGTAGTGTTCTTGTGTGCATAAGTTCGCTCGAGGGCTTCCACTCTGGCTTCCCTCCGGCCCTGATGTAGTCGGGGATCCATATTGCGGGGGATGGGAGCGACCTTATAAGTGGCACGAAGTTAGTCCGGAATGGGCTTGCGACGAGCTGCGTCGTGAAACTGGCTGATGTAGCCAAGACGTAGGAGCAGGTCACGGCCTGTAGGTGTTTGCGTGAGCCGTTGCAGTTGTGTGGCGAGTTGCGCTTCACAAAGTTCTTCAAAGGTGTTGTGTAGGCCCAATGCGAGGAGCTTGCCAGAAGGAGTACCCGGTGGTAGCTTGAGTGCCGCTTTGTAGGCCTTGCGGGGCATTGCGTCTACTTGGCCCTGTTCGCCCCTTGGTGAGGCGTTGGTAGGGCAAACTGTATGTCACCCTACTGACCACGAGGCTACGTATGAGTTTCAGGGTGTCCTCCTCGCGCATGCCATGCGACGAGTGGCTACCCGAGATATCATTCAGGCCACTTGTAGTGTAGTGGTGCGGAGAAGGGAAAGTGTGCGATTCACATGGTGGTTCGACTGTACCCACATGCCTAATATTCGAATGGTGGATTTCTCTGGGATTTGTTTGCCAGCAAGGACGACCTGGAGGCGGGAGCCTTGGTTGTTCTGCGCCGATGGTGGGAGCTTGCGTCGATAAATTCGTAGAAGCTCCGATTTTTCTGTTGCACAGGCCAGGCCTCGTGCCTGCGCGTATTGTTCGACGCATGTGGCTGCCTGCTGCAGGTTATATTCTTTTTCTCCAAGGGATCCCCGCGTGGCCCAGATGGTGATATCGTCCGCATACATTGCGTGATGGATGCCATCGATGCGGTGGAGTTCATTTGCCAGGCCAACCATAGCTACATTAAAGAGTAGCGGGGAAATCGCTGAGCCTTGCGGGGTGCCCTTGTTCGGAACCCTGATAACATGTGATCGGATGGAGCAGAGACCAACTGTGGCAGTGCGGTCGGACAAGAAGGAATGTAGCGTTGACGCGCGCGCACGCTGGGCACAGCGGCGCTACGTTAGCAAAACGCGTGACGAGC